TTTAAAATGGGAGTGCAAAGGTAGTCGGTAGGGTTGTTTTTTAATTAAATTAAGATTGACATATAGAGAAGACCTGAGGAGCTAAGACAATAACAGATTTATTCACAGTTTCTCATTGAGGTAATGTAATTGAAAATGAAATATAAGCAGAGAAAGTGTATGTAACCTAACATGAAAAAAAATCATTAGATAATTTGTCATCCATTATTGAAGTTGACACCTAAGCTCGACACTGTTTGGAAATGATTACTGTCACTGTTTTCAAATACAGGGTAATTTATGGAGGGCATTTATTAACGTTCATGACTTTCTCTAAACAAATTACAGGTTTTGTTATTTGTGTAATTTTTATACCCTCCACCATAGGGTATATTGATTTTGTCATTCCATTTGTAACTCATCGAAATATTCATTTCCGACCCAATAAAGTATATATATTCTTAATCAGGGTAAAATTCTAAGACGATCTAGCCATGTCCGTCCGCCCGTCCGTCCGTCTGTTGTAATCGCCAGAAGGAATTGAGATAGGATGCTGAAATTTTGCATAGGTTTGTCTTTTTGCTGCAGGCAGGTCAAGTTCGAAGATATATCGGTCCACGTTTAGGCATAGATCCCATATAACCGTCCCCCTATTTTCGGTATTTAAAATTATTAATATTCGCCCTCTTTTGGGGGGTAGCCCCCCCTTAGAACGTAAGGTTCGATAATGAACTTTAGCCGCATTTAGACCTAACCTCTGTGCAGAGGTTCCAGAAGGAGTGGACCGATATTCCCCTTCTTCGAATTTGAATTAAGTTTGGAAGAAGTAATAAGATGTGAAAGTTTGGATGAAATCTAAATTTTCTGAAACGGATTTGGTCCAAAGAGCCACATTTTCACCGTGTTATATATTATCCATTAAAAATTATAATTATAATTATGTTATAATTATCCATTAAAAATTTCTGAAATTTGTATTATGGTTTACATAATGTCGGTATAGGTCCACTTTTTGGTATGTTCCCTATATTTTCATTTCAAGTATCTGTCATAATACCTATGGTGGAGGGTAACCAAAGTTCAGCACGGCCGAACTTAACGCTTTTTCACTTATTAAACATTCACAAAAAATCGGACGAAACTATATATGGGAGCTATATCTAAATCTGAACCGATTTTACCAAAACTTCGCAGACATCAATCTAGACCTAATTCAGTACCCTGTGCAAAATTTTGTCCCAATCGGAAAAACTATATATGGACGAAACTACATATGGAAGATATATCTAAATCTAAACCGATTCCAAAAAAAAAAAAAAAAAATTCGCATACATAAGTATGTACCTGATTCAGTGCGCTGTGCAAAATTTTGTCCCAATCGGACAAATAATGGGAGTTTGGTGCATCATTTACCTATATCTATATCTAAATCTGAACCGATTTTAACAAAACTTCGCGGACATGAGTCTGGACCTAATTCAGTACTTTGTGCAGAATTTTGTCCCAATCGGACAAATATTGGGAGTTTGGTGCATCATTCTGAACCGATTTTACCAAAACTTCACAGACATCAATCTGGACCTAATTCAGTACCCTGTGCAAAATGTTGTCCCAATCGGAAAAAATATATATGGACGAAACTACATATGGAAGCTATATCTAAATCTAAACCGATTCGGACGAAGCTATATATGGGAGATATATCTAAATCTGAACCGATTTTTCCAATTTCAATAGGGTTCGTCCTTGGGCCAAATAAGTGAACTGTGCCAAATTTCATCTAAATCGGATCACAAAAATACATGGACGGACATGCGTAAGAAAGTGGTTCTTTGCATATTCTCAAAAGCAACCATGGTTCTATCTCGATTCCTTTTGCATGTTACAAACATATGCACAAAGGCATAATACCCTGTACCACAGTGTGGTGATGGGTATAAAAATGGGTATCTAGGGAGGATTGTGAAAATAGAGGACTTCTATGAGAGAGGCATTATTATGCCATTTAAAAAGCCTATAATTTATATAAAAATAATGGATTTCTTTTTCCCCAAACCTTATATTAAATTTCACCTAAATTGGTTGAAACACGTGCTCGAGCTCCCCGAAATATCGAATATTGGGCTGTAGCGTTATATGAAGGCTTCCCTAAAACGTAGACTAATATTGATCATTGTCACTCCATGAGAATCACAAAAATCAACTTAAAGCCAATTCGGCTGAAATCGATCCCAACATAGGAAGACTACCCGGAAACATGGGCTAATGTTGATCATTTTTGGTAAGGACATTTTATTCTCAATGGGGATCCAAAATATTAGAATGCAACAAAAATTGGTTGAAACGCGTGCTCAAGTTCCCCAAAATATCGAACTTTGGAATTTAGCGTTATCTATATGGCGGCTTCCTCAAAAGGTCGACTAATATTGATAATTTTTAGAGAAAGATTCTCTACCACTCCACAACCCATAATACCAAATTCGATTGAAAAATGTGCCCAAAAACCCCAAACACGCTTAAATCAACATAGACTTTTAATCTGATCAACAACACTTTATGGGGTCTCCGCTGAATATTTCGATGTTTTGCAAACGGTATGACAAATTTAATAAACACTCCCCCTATGGTGGAGATTATAATAAATAACCAACTCACTTAATCAATTTAGAGTTAAGTGTCATTATTTTGAGATAGAGAAAAAACTGTCCCAATCCTAGTATCAATGAAAACTGTTATACATACTTCTGCAGAGCCATCTATTGTGTTCCATAGGTACTACCATTAGTGGCTGGTAAATTGACTCGTGCCTAGTATAGACACACGCCATTTAAACCTTTACCTAATATATTTTATTGGTTCTATGCGAAATGAATAAGCATATAATAACGACAATAACGATGTGTATTTATTAAACCTATATCCGGTGTATGTCCAAACTATGTAAGCATAACAAGAGTTGTTATGTGGCCCCGTCAATAGATGGCGCTTGGGTTTTGTGTTTTGTCTAACTCATTATACCCTTCACCTATCTATGGTACAGGGTATTATGTCTTTGTGCATATGTTTGTAACAGGCAAAAGGAAACGAGATAGACACATGGTTCCTTTTGAGAATATGCATAGAATCACTTTATGCATGTCCGTCCGTCCGTGTGTCCGTCCGTCCGTCTGTAGATGTTAAATCGTAAACAAAGTACAGGTCGAATTTATGATCCGATTTGAATGAAATTTGGCACAGGTCACTTATTTGGCCCAAGGACGAACCCTATTGAAATTGGGAAAAATCGGTTCAGATTTAGATATAGCTCCCAAATATATATTTAACCGATTTAATGTAAATGGTCCCTATATATCTTTCGATTTGCACGAAATTTGGTACAGCCTAATCATTTAGGTCTAGAATGATGTGTATCAAGTTTCGTGAAAATCGGTCCAGATTTAGATATAGCTCCCATATATAGTTTCGTCCGATTTCATGTAAATGGTGCACCAAAGTCGCTATATATCTTTCGATTTGCACGAAATTTGGCATAACGTACTGAATTGAGCCTAGAATGATGTCTGCCAAGTTTCGAGAAAATCGGTCCAGATTTAGATATAGCTCCCATATATATTTTCGTCCGATTTCATGTAAATGGTGCACCAAAGTCGCTATATATCTTTCGATTTGCACGAAATTTGGCATAACGTACTGAATTGAGCCTATGTATCCTTACAATTGTATGTCAAAGTTCCTTAGAAGGAACATACTCATGTTATTCTGCAACCTATGATAAATTTAATTTCATGCGAGCAGATTTAAATATATAGGGTCCTTGGTGCACCATTTACCTAAAATCGGGAGAAACTATATATGGGACCTATATCCAAATCTGAACCGATTTCCACGAAACTTAGCGCACATCTTTCTAGACTTAATTCGTGCAAATTGAATGACAAAATTCGTGCAAATCTAATGATTTTCAGGGACTTTGGTCCACCATTTACTTAAAATCGGACGAAACTATATATGGGAGCCATATCTAAATCTGAACCGATTTTCACGAAACTTAACACACATCATTCCACACTTAATTCAGTACGCTACACCAAAATTCGTGCAAATCAAAAGACTTGCAGGAACTTTGATGGAACATTTACTTAAAATCGGGGGAAGCTATATATGGGAGCTATATCTAAATCTGAACTGATTTGCACGAAACTTATCACACGTCATTCTACACTTAATTCATTACGCTATGCCAAAATTCGTGCAAATCTAATGATTTTCAGGGACTTTGGTGCACAATTTACTTAAAATCGGGCGAAACTATGTATATATGGGAGCTATATCTAAATCTGAACCGATTTTCCCGAAAATTAGCACACATCATTCTAGACTTAATTCATTACGCTATGCCAAAATTCGTGCAAATCTAATGATTTTCAGGGACTTTGGTGCACCATTTACCTAAAATCGGGCGAAACTATATATGGGATATATATCTAAATCTGAACCGATTTTCCCGAAATTTAGCACACATCATTCTAGACTTAATTCAGTACGCTAGCACGGACAGACGGACATGCATAAATCGACTCAGAATGTGATTCTATGTTCTCTATATTCTCAAAAGGAACCATGGGTCTATCTCGATTCCTTTTGCCTGTTACAAACATATGCACAAAGACATAATACCCTGTACCACAGTGCGGTGAAGGGTATAACAAAGATTTAAAGAAATGACACTTTTTTACATTAGATTCTTTTCAGCTGCATCAATATATGATCACTTGTTTCATATCATCTACCATAAGGGGGTCTTTATGTTAATACGGTTGCAACACCTCGAAATATTCATCTTAGACCTCACACATATACTCATTATATTCTTCATCAAAAATTTTATTATTATTTTTTTTTATTTTTTCTTCTAAGAATTTAAGAAAATAAATTCGTTTTCAATATATACGAATAAATAATATCCATAGAATAAGAGTATGTATGGATGCCATAATTTCGAGAATATTTGTTCTTTTCTACTATTTTTCATCACCATTTGTAGGAATAGGTTTCATTTCGGTGCCGTTTTCATCTTCATCATCAAATACTTTAAGATTTTTGACATGATACCAAACACCACCATTAAACAGGGTACTTATGCAAATAAAAATGGCAGCTACAGTATTTAGTGTTATTCTGGAAGATCGAAATTTAGAATTTTAAAATTTGAATTACCAAATTTTTACATTCTAACTTACCTCAAACTTTCGGAATCATACAGCCAACAATTGCCCTTATTGGTACATGTTTTACCCCATACTAAACAATATTTATCAAATATCCAACCGAATAAAATGGGTGCGGGTACAAAGCACACCAACGAAATGAACATCATGCCGAAACCCATAATGGCGGATTTATCCTCGGGCGGTACTGAACGCATTGTAATTAACATATTGGCTGCTCTACCGGTGGCAGCAAAGAATTTAATGGTACACATAACCACCAAGAATGTTATAAATTGATTATAACAATTGACGGGACAGGCACCAGCCATGGCCTGACCTCCAACACCGAGGGATAGCTGAAAATCGAAGAGGTAACCATTAAACATAATTTTTTTCGAAATCAATTGAACAAACATTTAACTCACATTTGTTCCATTCATGGAAGAACTGTTGAGATCCGTCAATGTTAGTGGTTCAAATAAAGGATTTTTATTTAATGTTTGATTCGTAGTGGTGGGTATGCACGAACAATCATAGTAACTCTAAATTTGTGAACAAATAAAAATAGTTTTTAAAAAAAAAAGAATGTTAAAAATATATATTTCCCCTTGCCTTAACACCATTAGCATCCATATGTTCTCCCTTGCATCCGGCATGACATGGTGAAATATATGTCCTCATATCCTCACCACATACTGGCGTATAGCGCACATAATCACAGTGGCAAATGCCATTACAACTTAATGTTGAATTCAAAATACTGCTAAAGAAATGTATACAACTTTTTAATTTAATTTATAAATTATGGTTAATTTTTTTGTGGTTACTATTACCTATCACTGGCATTATTTATTAGAGAATTATCATTTGCCGCACAGCCAGTAAACACATAGGCAATCATGCCAGTCAATGTAACAATATCCACCAAAATGTTCCAAGCGGCCAGATAACGTGCTTTTGGTTTAAATTTTGATATGATAACACCGGAAAGTAAAACACCAATAGCCGAAAAGACCAGAGCCACGGTGCCAGTAACCATGCTGGAAAATAATAACAAGTATATAGAAATTAATATAAAACAAGTGAAAGGCGGTATACAGGTATACTGACAGGTATTTGAAATGAAATAAAGGACAGATATTTATAATTTTTAGTAGCGATATTTGGTACCCAATATGAACCCAATATACCAAATTTCAGCGAATTCGGTTGAAAATCGCGCTCAAGGACCTCAAAATACCGAAAATTAGGGGTGCCCTTCTATGGGGGATATCCCAAAAAATTGACCTATATTTATAATTTTTTATGGAGATATTTGGTACCTATTAAGAACTCAAAATACTAAATTACAACCAATTCGGTGGAAAAATACGATAATAACCCCTAAAATACTGAAAATTAGGAGGTACCGTTATATGGGGGCTACAAGAAAAAGTGGACCTATATTTATAATTTGTTGTGGATACATTTAATACCCAATAAGAACCCAATGTACCAAATTTCAGCGTATTCAGCTGAAAAACGCGCTCAAGAACCTCAAAATACCGAAAATTGGGGGGTACTGTTATATGGGAGCTATACCTAAACGTGAACCAATATATCCCATCTTCGAACTTGACCTGCCTGCAAACAAAAGACAAACCTATGCAAAATGTCAGCACCCTATCTCAATTCTTTCAAAAGTAGCGTGATTACAACAGACGGACAGACAGGCGGACGGACGAACGGACGGACGGACATGGCTAGATCGTCTTATATATACTCTATAGGGTCTGAAATGAATATTTCGATGAGTTACAAACGGAATGACAAAATTAATATACCCTCCATACTATGGTGAAGGGTATAAAAATTAATATACCCTCCATACCATGGTGGAGGGTATAAAAAGGATAGTAGTAAAGTCTGGCTAGGCCCACTATAGGATACCCTTCACCACTTTGGGTATATTCTAAATATGTATTGAACGAACTTAAATATGTGATATTTATCTATATCTAAACCGACTCACATCAATCCCTACACATTTCATTCTGCAACCTATGCTAAATTTTTTAAATCGATTTAAAGCAAACTTCACACACGCTAGTTAGTATGCTGCACTGTTCAAAATTTAATCTCAATCAGACACCCATTGAATATTAGGTGTAAATTAAATCGAACGAAAATATATATGGGAGCTATATCTAAATCTGAACCAATTTTCTCGAAACTTAACACACGTAATTCTGGACCTAATTCAGCATCATATGTCAAATTTCGTGCAAATCCAAAGATATATAGGGACATTTGTGCCTCATTTACCTTAAATCGGACGAAAATATATATGGGAGCTATATCTTAATCTGACCCGATTTTCATGAAATTTGGAAGAGTTCACTCTATGCTTAATTCAGTACCTTATGCCAAATTTCGTGGAAATCGAAGGATATATAGGGACATAGGTGCACCATTTACATAAAATCGGACGAAAATATATATGTGAGCTATATCTAAATCTAAACCGATTTTCACGAAACCTACCACTCATCAAATCGAAAGATATATAGGGACTTTGGTGCACCATTTACATAAAATCGGACAAAAATATATATGGGAGCTATATCTAAATCTGAACCGATTTTCAGGAAACTTAACACACATCATTCTATTCCTAATTCATTGCGCTGTGCCAAATTTCCTGCAAATCGGAAGATATATAGGGATTTTGGTGCACCATTTACATTAAATCGGACGAAACTATATATGGGAGCTATATCTAAATCTGAACCGATTTTCACGAAACTTGGCAGACTTCACTCTAGGCTCACTTCAGTACCTTATGCCAAATTTCGTGCAAATCGAAATATGTATAGGGACTGTTTTTGCACCATTTATATAAAATCGGACGAAAATATATATGGGAGCTATATCTAAATCTGAAGCGATTTTCACGAAACTTAACACACGTCATTCTGGACCTAATTCAGCATCATATGTCAAATTTCGTGCAAATCCAAAGATATATAGGGACATTGTTGCCTCATTTACCTTAAATCGGACGAAAATATATATGGGAGCTATATCTAAATCTGAACCGATTTTCACAAAACTTGGCAGACTTCACTCTAGGCTCAGTTCAGTACCTCATGCCAAATTTCGTGCAAATATATAGGGACATTTTTGCACCATTTATATAAAATCGAACGAAACTATGTATGGGAGCTATATCTCAATCTGAACTAATTTTCTTGAAACTTAACAGACGTCATCCTGGACCTAATTCAGCATCATATGTCAAATTTCGTGCAAATCCAAAGATATATAGGGACATTGGTGCCTCATTTACCTTAAATCGGACGACAATATAAATAGGAGCTATGTCTAAATCTGACCCGATTTTCTCGAAACTTGGCACACGTCATTGTAGACTCAATTCAGTACACTATGCAAAATTTCGTGCAAATCGAAAGATATATAGAGACTGTGGTGCCCCATTTACCTTAAAACGGACGAAACTATATATGGGAGCTATATTAAAATCTGAACCGATTTTTTTCAATTTCAATAGGGTTCGTCCTTGGGCAAAATAAGTGACTTGTGTCAAATTTCATCCTAATCGGATAATAAATGCCATTACAAAACAAAGAATTCAGGCAATTCACTGCATCTAAAGTTAGATCGGCAGGGAAATGTGTACTGTAATTTATCAATGAATTTAAACTTAAACAATAGCTGGCAATTAATTAATTTCCCTGTGGATGATTTTATCTACAAGTGCCAATAACATTAAAACACTTGTTAACTATTAAATGATATTGTTCTTTCTTTTTGGCTGTTGTTGTCTCTTATCGATTTAAAAAAAAATACAAATAACATTAGCGCAAAATCATTGATCACCAATAAAAACAACATTTCTCACTTACCTTGACGTAGCAGCCGATTGTCGATATTGAATTTCAATGTATTTAGCGGTAAATATCCAATACGGGGTATAACCGAAGAAATAGAAAGTGTTCGATAAAATATTGCAGAGAATAATTTTACTCTTAAAGAATGTGTGGAAGGTCTTGAGCATATCCTTAAATGATGTTTTACGTTGTATCTGCTCCAGAGAGACACCCATATTTTGTTCTTTGTCGAGTAGACTTTGTGCCTTGCGGCGTGCCGCTGTCAATGGCAGCTCCTTGGGGAACATAAACATACATAATCCAAAAGTGAAGATGAGACCAGCAGTTATTAGCCAACCCATCCACCAGGCGCCCAACCAACGTGAATCACGAATGGTAATAATCGGTGTTAGGTGGGGAGCAATATAGACTCGTAAACACAGCGAGGCCAATGTATAACCCAATGAGGGACCCAACAAACCGAAGAAGTAGGAAATACCTATGAATGGAAAATGGAATTCGGAAAAGTGTTCTTGTTTGTAAATAATATTTTTTCTCTTACTCAACATAGCCGGTGCCTTGGACTTTTCGGTGTTGTCATCCATATAAGAAACACCCAAGGAATAGTACAGAGAACCTCCTACACCAGCCACAAATTGTGCAATAAATAATAATATTTGTGGCAGTAGACTACCCTCTCGCACATCACATTCCACACCGGTGCCATCTGTACGACAAAGGATTTTTTGCCGTTGTTCTTCTAAATCCTGCACTGAAATATTAATATCGGATACGGCACCATATTCCTTGGTGAGACTTAAAGCATCCTCTCCCGGTCCATAAATAAAATGAGGAGTCACGGTGAGCATACAGAACACGATCAGCGTTAGGAGACCTGGGAGATGGAAATAAACAAATTTATATAAGATAATTAATCAGAACTAATTCAGGGTATGACTTTTTTAATTCCCGACATATAAAAACAATATTTTAATACATATATAAATAATATTAACTTGCCGAATCCCATCCACCGAGGTCGATGTTTTTTGCCAGCGTAGTAACCCAACACTGCCGAACACAACACCTGACTCAAATCATTGCCAATCATAATCATGCCGGTGTTGCGAGAGGGAATTTTGAAACGTTTCTCCAGTGTCGAAATTGTACCATGAAAATAGGAATTGGTCATGGCAAAGACACAACCGACGAGGCCATAAATAATCACATATGCCGTTTGATTTGCAAATCTAAAAATACGAACACACACACACATATACACAAAATTATTAATATAAAACAATTCCCATATAACAATAACACAAATATTTACTTTTGTAAAAATCCACCTTTAAAACAACCAACACCGCATGTTGTATCCTCAGTTAAAGGCATTTCATTTAAGATACGCCTCACCTCCTGAGGATCAACGGATTTTTGTTTATTCAACAGAGTTTTAGTTGATTCCCGATCATTTTTTGTGTTTTCGTCGATTTTGGCCATCGTGTTTCGTTTAATTTTCCAATATTAATATTTATTTTTTTCCTGTTCCGTCCCGTCTGTTTACTTTTGGTGATATCGCATTGGCGGAAGTTTAACGCGGCTATTGTTTAATCTAAACGTCCACCAACGGAATGAACTTTTAATACATTGATTTACTTTCTTAATTTTTTTTTTTACGTTTGGATCTTTAAGAGAGAGTAATATTCTTATCGGATTTATCAATTCTCTTTCCAAGAAAAACTGTTAACTGAACTATTCAAGACTGGTGACCAGATGCTGGTCAGGAGCATGCACCAGCTGATTAGCACAATTTGGCTAGATGAATGCATGCCCAATGATTGGAACCTCAGCATCCTGTGTCCAAAAAAAGAAACAAGACGATATGTGCCAACTATAGAGGAATAAGTCTCCTTCCCATCGCATATAAAGTGATATCCAGTGTGCTGTGTGCACGATTGAAGCCAATGGTCAATGACATCGTCGGACCATATCAATGCGGCTTTAGACTTGGCAAATCCACCATTGACCAGATTTTCACTCTGCACCAAATCCTGGAAAAGACTCACGAAAAACACATCGACACATACCACCTATTTGTCGACTATAAAGCCGCATTCGACAGCCCTATCCGTTCAGAGGTGTTTAAAGCCATGTCTGCGTTCGGCATTCCTGCAAAATTAATACGGCTATGCAGGATAACTTTAAGTGGCACAAGGTCAGCAGTTAAAGTAGGAAAGGACCTATCGGATCCCTTCAAAACCGAACTAGGATTCAGACAAGGTGACAGTTTGTCGTGTGATCTTTTTAACATCCTACTGGAAAAGATCATACGAGACGCAAGGTGAACAGAAATGGCACTCTGTATACCAAACAACACATGTTACTCGCCTACGCCGATGACATCGATATAATGTGTCGAACATTGCGAGCGCTAACAGCCACCTTTGAACAAATTGAAAAGGAGTCTGCCAAAGTGGGTCTGGCAGTAAACGGCGAGAAGGCCAAGCTGATGGTATCAACGCGCAAGACGTCCAGTAGACTCGGACCAACTGTGGAACTTGAGAACTACAGCTTCGAGGTAGTTAAAGACTTTATATACCTTGATACCGCCATAAATAAAACTAATGACATCAGTTTTTAAATTCGGAGAAGGATTGTGATGGCCAACAGATACTACTATGGTCTAAGTAAGCAGTTTATAAACAAGGCCACCTCCCGCCATACCAAACTCACACTTTACAAGACGCTGATACTACCCGTGCTATTATATGGATCAGAAGCATGGGTACTTGCGCAAGCAGATGAGGCAGCTATTGGGGTGTTTGAGAGAAAAATTCTCCTAAAGATCTACGGGCCAATCTGCGTCGACGGTGAATATCGGCGTCGAATGAACCACGAGCTTTAAAATTTATACGCGGACATCGACATAGTCAGTCGTATTGAGCTGCAGCGACTACGGTGGCTAGGCCATGTTGTGCGGATGAATGAAAGTCCCCCAGCTCAAAAGGCATATAAAAATGAGCCTACTGATGGTTCCCGTAGAAGGGGAAGATCACGAATTAGATGGAAAGACCAAGTAGAAAACAACATCTTGGAACATGGTCTTCCAAATTGGTGGGCTTGCGCACAAGACCGACGCGCTTGGAAATCTTTTTTAAGCTCGGCTTATGGAATAACCGTCCTGTAACAAGCCAGCTAATTAGGTAAGTACACTTCATTCCAATATTATTATCTGATCATCGCCGAAAATTATAGGCGTTGTCCTTGACTATACCTGGATCCTCCTGGAAAATTTCAAAACAATCAGCGCTATATTTTCGCCCTCTATTCAGATAATGTTACTAAATAATATCTGAATACATAAGCACCTGTAAATATTTAAGTGTAACTCCCTTTGGATATACTATCAACTTCTTGGGTCTATGTCAAATTTTGTAATTTTTCACACAAAAGTCAAGGTCCATTTGACCCATCTTTACCAAAACAGACATGCTTATACTGCCGATCCCCTTCTCAATAAAAATAAAGTGTTTGGTTCATTTTGTCCCCCAAATATTAACCGAACAATAGGGGTCTTTATTAGCCAGAACGCATATTACATACAAAATTTCATGAATATTGGTCCATAACTGTGGCCTGTATCGTGTTAGCAAATTATAATGGACAGACGGACGGACACACATGTCTAGATCGTCTCTGCTAGGAGAGATATATAGCATGATCGGTATACTAAAAGGTGGGTCTGGAACCAATATTTCGCGTAGTTACAAACTCTTGGGGCTGAACAAAACTATAACACCCTGATAACATAGCTATGTAGGGTATAAATATACCCTTCTTACCAAGTTGAAGGTTAAAAAAAGACAAATACCCGAATATTGATAACATTAGGTATCGCCTATCGGTATACTTAGGCCGTTAACTAAATTATAGTTAACGATTATTGATAAGCAGCTCTTCGGAACTCTATTGGAATTTCACTAAAAGTGATTATGTAGTGAGAGTTATTATTTTAATTTAATTGATTTGAGAGTTTCTGAGAATTGTTGAGAAAATTATAATTTGCAGAAGACGACATTATTAAAACGCAATGAAAACGTTTAAATATCACGTTTATTTCATTGTTTTCGGGTTTATGGCTTTCAAATATTATTAATTAGCCCAATTGATAATGTTAGTAAGTGGGAAAAATGACACACAAATTATAAGGAGTAAAAATATAAATATAATCCAGTAAGGAAAGTAGTAAAGTCGGACGGGGCCGACTATATGTTACCCTTTGCCACTATGGGTTTATTAAACAGATGCATCCTAACAGACGTCGCAATTTTGAAGGACAATAAAAATTAAATTGGATGAACTAAAAAATATGATCTTCATCTAAATGTGAACCGACTTAGATCGATCCATAAACATGTCATTCGTTTTTTACAATGGGCCAAATTGTGCAAATCGATTTGAAGCAATTATCACTTGGACTCCCGTTGAATATTTGGAGCTCAATTAACGCGAAATCGGTCGGAAATATCTATGGGAAGTCTGTACTTCCCATAGATATTTCCGACCGACTTCTTCCGACTCCTACAAAAACCAACTAAGTCATTCTATGCTCATTTTTGTACGTTGTGCAAAATTTCCTGTCAATCTAACAAACATGAGAAGTTTGGTCCACCATTTACTTAAAATCGAATGAAAATATATATGGAAGCTATAGGAACCGTTTTTAACGAAACTTGTCACAGGTTAGGTTATACTAATTTTAGTACGTTTTGTTCATACCGGCCATATTTTGGGCCGGCGAAAATATGTGTGGAAGATACATTTAAATCTGAACCATTTTCACCAAAACCTGACACACGTTGAACTATACTAAATTCTGTACGACGAACAAAATGTTGAGCCAATCGGCCCAAAGACGCTAAGTCCTTTTGTGCACCATCTAAACCTACATCTAAATCTGATCCGATTTCACCAAAACTTGACACACATTAACTTATATATGGGCGATATATCTAAATCTAAATCGATTCCAATAAAACTTGGCACTACTTAGGCTGTCCTAACTTCACTACATTCGTGTCAATCGGCCTAACGTTGTCCATTTGGTGCACCATTTACTCAAAATCGGACGTAAATATACATGGAAGCTATATCTAAATCTGAACCGATTTTCACGAAACTTAACCGACATTACTCTAGACTCAAATCAGTACGTTATGCCAAAGCTTTGGTGCTCCATTAATATAAAATCGGGCGAAACCAGTATATGGTACCCTTCACCACTTTGGGTATATTCAGCATATGTATCTATATCTGAACCGATTTCAAGGAAAATTATCAGGGATTAATTTATATTAATCCCTGATAATTTATATTAACTTGTGTCAATCGGCCTAGCTATGGATCTTTAGTGCACCATTTACTTAAAATCGGACGGGAATATATATAGAGGTGTATGTAAATCTGAACCGATTTTCACGAAACTTTGCACACATCATTCTAGATTTAATTCAGCACCTTATCACAAAATCGAAAGATATATGCGGACTTTGGTGCACTATTTACATAAAATCGGGCGAAACTATATATGGAGCTATATCTAAATTTGAACCGAGTTTCACAAACTTTAGCACTCATCATTCTAGACTAAATTCAGTACACTATGCCAAAATTCGTGCAAATCGAAAGATTTTGAGGGACTTTGATGCATCATTTACCAAAAATCGGGCGAAACTATATATGGAGCTATATCTAAATCTGAACCGATTTTCAAGAAACTTAGCACACATCATTCTAAACTAAATTCAGTACACTATGCTAAAATTCGTGCAAATCGAAAGATTTTGAGGGACTTTGGTGTACCATTAACCAAAAATCGGTCGAAACTATGTATGGGAGCTATATCTAAATCTGAACCGATTTTCACGAAACTTAGCACATATCATTCTAGACTTAATTCAGTACGCTATGCAAAATTTCGTGCAAATCGAATGATTTGCAGTGACTAATGTCCGTAAATCGGACAAAAATATATATAGGGTTCGTCCTTGAGCCAAATTAATGAGCTGTACCAAATTTCAGCCAAATCGGATTATAAATGCGACCTGTACTTTGTTTACAATTTAACATCAACAGACGGACGGACAGACGAACGGACGGACATGCATAAATCGACTCAGAAAGTGATTCTATGCATATTTTCAAAAGGAACCATGGGTCTAAATCTGAAACGATTACAAAAAAACTTCGCATAAATTAATCTGGACCTAATTCAGACCTCTGTGCGAAATTTGGTCTAAATCGGACAAATATTAGGAGTTTGGTGCAGTATTTAAATAAAATCTGACGAAAATATATATGGGAGCTATATTTAAATCTGAACGTATTTCAATAATACTTGGGAGACGTTAGGCTATGCTAACTTCAGTACGTTGTGCAAAATTCCGGCGTAAGTTTGATTCTTTGGTGCACCATCTACTAAAAATCGTAAAAATCGGACGAAAACAAATATGAGAACTATATATAAATCTGAACCGATTTTCACGCGCATTACTCTACACTCAAATCACGAAACTTAACGCACATTACTTTCGACTCAAATCAGTACGTCATGTCAATTTTCGTGAAAATAGAAAGAAATATAGGTGCATTTTGTGCTCCATTAACATAAAATAGGTCGGGAATATATATGAGAGCTATATCTAAATTTGAACCGATTGCAACAAAACTTCGCATACATTAATCTGGACCTAATTCAGTCCTCTGCACAAAATTTAGTCTAAATCGGACAAATGTTGGAAGTTTGGTTCATCATTCACATAAAATCGGATGAAACTATATATGGGAGCTATATCTAAATCTGAACCGATTTCAACGAAACTTCGCACACATCAACCTGGGCCGAATACAGTACGTTGTGCAAACTTGTGTGTCTATCGGTCAAATGTTAGGAGTTTGGAGCAGTATCTACATAAAATCGGACGAAAATATATATGAAAGCTATATCTAAATTTGAACTGATTTTTACTAATTGCAATAGGGTTTGTCCTTTGGGCATGTACATGAGTTGCGCCAAATTTCATCTCATTCGGATAATTAATACGACCTGCACCTTGTTTACAATTTAACATAGACAGACTGACGGACGGACAAGCATAAATAGACTCAGAAATTGATTCTATGAATATTCTCAAAAGGATCCGTGGGTCTATGTCGTTTACTTTTGCCCTTTTACAAACATATGCACAGAGACATAATACCCTATACTACATTGTGGTAAAGGGTATGATTATAGTCAATTCATGTAAATATTGATGTATAACTCTCACATCCGGGTACATTCTTTAAGCCCAGCTACTGCTCCTACTGATATTTTATGTGATGTTCGGATCATTGTTGTCACCTGTAGAGCGACCAGATAAGCAGACAAATATAAAGTTTTTTAATACATTTTATTCTCTAAATATTAATCGATCCCCTTCGGTGAGAACTGGATTTACAGGCAACATTTCGCAGCAACTGGTCCATAACTGTTGTCTGTACATTGTTTACAAATTGTAATTGACAGACTAATGGACACACAGTCCTAAATCGACCCAGCTAGCTGGGATAAGATCCAATATATGTGTATCCAATTTGTTAACCAAACCCACATGACAACTATATTCCATATTTTAATGAGGCATAATTTTGATCATATTATCGTATATAATAAATATTTCATTTATAGTGTTGGCGCGTTATTTGGGATACCATTTGTATTTTGTTTTTGCAAAATAGTCAGGCTTAATCCCAGTTTGTTGTTTTTATAAAAAACAACTATTTATTAGTGGGGAATGTATGGCATTGTCCGCCGAGGGGTAAGGCAGGAAGACTATAGTTTGGGATCTCGCCACTGATCCTCATCAGTTCCCTTAGTTTTTTGTTGGGATATTCTCCCCAGAAGCTATTAATAGCTTCTTTACAAAAAACCTTTCAAACCCAAATGTCTCTTGTGACAATTCGAAGTTCTTACGTTACCAGCGATACGACCCCAATGAGAAGTTCGTTTCGTTGGCGCCTGTCTTCGTGGTCAACAAGGCATTTACAGACAACTACAATACATTTCCCACTGCTATGTGTCGTCACTTTGTGACGAATGCACATAACGTTGTTGTTGGTATTGCTAGTTATAGCAATAAACCAAACAGTATGACCGTGCCTCGTCTACAACTTCAGTAGTGTTGGCGGGTTATTTGGGATACCATTTGTATTTTGTTTTTGCAAAATAGTCAGGCGTAATCCCAGTTTGTTGTTTTTATAAAAAACAACTATTTATTAGTGGGGAACAAAAAACTAAGGGAACTGATGAGGATCAGTGGCGAGATCCGAAACTATAGTCTTCCCTGCCTTACCCCTCGGCGGACAATGCCATACATTCCCCACTAATAAATAGTTGATTTTTATAAAAACAACAAACTGGGATTAAGCCTGACTATTTTGCAAAAACAAAATACAAATGGTATCCCAAATAACCCGCCAACACTACTGAAGTTGTAGACGAGGCACGGTCATACTGTGTGGTTTATTGCTTTAACTAGCAATACCAACAACAACGTTATGTGCATTCGTCACAAAGTGACGACACATAGCAGTGGGAAATGTATTGTAGTTGTCTGTAAATGCCTTGTTGACCACGAAGTCAGGCGCCAACGAAACGAACTTCTCATTGGGGTCGTATCGCTGGTAACGTAAGAACTTCGAATTGTCACAAGAGACATTTGGGTTTGAAAGGTTTTTTGTAAAGAAGCTATTAATAGCTTCTGGGGAGAATATCCCAACAAAAAACTAAGGGAACTGATGAGGATCAGTGGCGAGATCCGAAACTATAGTATATTTTATTAATTTTCTTATACACTAATAATAGTTTATTAAAATCATATTTGTTCGTTAAAAAAATCACAAGAAAATTGTTCTATGTTCTACTCATTATGAGTAACAGTTTCTTCGTTAGTCTTAGAAATAGTTTTCAATTCTTTTGGCTTTTCTTCTTCGTCGTCAAAAACTTTCAAATGTTTTACATGATACCATACACCAGCATTACAGAAGGTACTAATGCCAACAAAGAAGGCTGCAACCAGATTCAATGTTAATCTGCAAGTTGAAGAAATAAATAATATTATTCGAAGTGTATTCCCTTAAATTTGTTTGTTTCCTCAGTCCTCACCTTAATCCCGCCGCATCGTACAACCAACAATTGCCTTTGTTTGTACATGTTTTACCCCATACCAAACAATTTCTATCGAATATCCAACCGTAAAATATTGGTGCCGGTACAAAGCATACCAACGATATAAACATCATACCAAAACCCATTAGGGCCGATTTATCTTCCGGCGAAACAGAACGCATTGTAATTAATAGATTCGATGCTCGTCCAGTGGCAGCAAAGAATTTTATGACACACATAACCGCCAAAAATGTTATAAATTGCTGAGAACATTTGACGGGACATGCTCCTGACATTGCCTGACCACCAGAACCCAAAGAAAGCTAAATAATAAAAAGTAAATAATTATTTAGTAATAAATTAGTGGACATATGTTTTAATTATTTTCTAATACTCACATTTGTTATATTCAAATTTGAATTGTTAATCTCATCAGTTGTTAGTCTTGCAAAAAGTGGATTTGTATTCAGTGTCTCATTCGATACAGTTGGAATACAGGTACAATCGTAGTAGGTCTGCAAGTAAAAAATGTAGATATATATCACAATTCTGTATATGTTGTTTTGGGGATTTACACGCATTTCAGTTAATAAACCAAAAAGGGTCAACATTTTGCGGGGCCGAATATTTTTGTACACAAGGATCTGGAACTTTGAATTTTATGCGGAATATTTTTACCAACCTATTTCTGATACCTTTGGAATCCTCTTGCCCGATTAGAGGTAAACAGCACCCCTTGCACAAAGTACATACATTTTGTAAAATTTGTGAATCCAATATCAAGAGATTACCAAACCTATATTAAGGGGACCCCACCCATTCTCCGTTTCAAAAAATTTAATTTTGTATTTTGATTTAATTCGAAAACAACACAAAAAATGTCCCTATAAATTTTCAAGTGAACATCTCAACAATTTTTGAAGATATATCCGATTTATTGCATTAGCATCAAGTGACAGCAAGAGGGCTTCTCAAACTTTAAACGCTTTTTTCCCCAAACAGCGTTTTACTAACTTATATGAATACGGAGATACCTGTAAATATATAGCGTTTTTGCGAATGGCGGGCACATAAAATAATATAATTGGTAATAACCAAATCGATTTCGCCTCTTGGATATAATATCAACTTCTCGAGTGTGTAGCTATCGTATATATACTAGGATAAAGCCACTTTTCACACATTTGAACCTTATTTTTGAACTTAGTTTGTGGTCAAAAATAAACGATTTTCCAAAAAAGAAAAAAAATTCAAAGTTCTGTCATTTTGTTAATTGTTGTGCGATGCCAATAATCCTAGTTCCTACGAGAGCCAGACATGTACTCTTTTCCGATGTTCCGGCGAGGAGTTATCATGTTACAAACCTTAAAAAGCATTGGTATTTATTTGTCAACCCATTTAAAATCTTGAAAATAAAAAATTGTGAAGGGGGGGGGGGGGGGGTTCCCTTAAGTGTGAAGATAGGCCCTTCCTAGGACATTTGTGTGAACATTTGTATATGCAATATAAGGAAATTGAAGTGAAGTCTAAGTACTAGTCTATATTCCATTCATCGTGGGCTGTGTTCTTCCGCTTATAATTTTGGCCTATAGAACCTCATGGAAAATTTCAAAGCGGTATATTTCCGCCCTGTAGTGTGGTAATGGGTTACTAAATAATTCCTGAATACGTGACCACCTGTAAATATTTATGTGTAACTCCCACATACGAGTCAACCACTTCTATCAAGTTATTGAGTCTATGTTCTTTAGGAGTAAATATATACGCCATAGAATACAAATTTTGTAATTTTTCAGGGTCCATTTCAGTGTTGACCAATCTTTATCAGAACAGGCATGCTGAGTCTTTGGTCCGATCCCCTTATCGCGATGTTCGGGCCATAATTGCGTCCTCTGGAGCGACAAGAACAACCGACAAAAAATAGGTATTTGTTACATTTCATCCTCTAAATATTAACCGATCTTTACCAAAAGCAATAGGGTTCTTCATTGGCCAGAACCCATCTCACATGCAAAATGTCGTGAAGATTAATCTATAACTGTGGCCTGTATCATGTTTACAAATTATAATGGGCAGACGGACGGACATACACGCATGTCTAGATCGACTCAGCTAGTCAAGATATGACGATCGGTATACTTAAAGGTGGGTCTAGGACCTATATTTCGCGGTTGTGCAAAATTTGATGTTAATCTGACTAACATGAAGAGTTTGATGTCCAATTTACTTAAAATCGGGCAAAAATATATATGGAAGTTATATCCAAATATGAACCGATTTCAACGAAACTTGTCCCAGGTTAGGTTATACTAATTTCAGTACGTTTTGTTCCTATCAGCCATATATTGGATCCTTGGTGCGTCAATTACTTAAAATCAATCTATAATATAAGGGAGCTATATCTAAATCTGGACCGATTTTCACGAAACAAGGCAGACATCACTCTACGCTCAATTCAGTACGTTATGCAAATCGAAAGATATATAGGGACTTTGGTGCACCATTTACCTTAAATCGGTCAAAACTATATATGGGAGCTATATCTAAATCTGGACCGATTTTCTTGAAACTTGGCAGACACCACTCTAGGCTCAATTCAGTACGTTATGCCAAATTTCGATGTGACTGTAGCTTAAATTCATGCCCCTAAAAACTCTTCTCTGAATATATCATCTTGTTAAAAAAATTCAAGATTTCAAGCCTAATTTTCGGCGTTCAAGGTCTTAGCGGAATATTCCATATAATTTGAATTACGTTTTTTTGCAGGACAATACCCTATATAGGTTATTTTTGTTAGCAAATTGGAATTTGAGGTCCAGATGAATAAAATTTGGCCCGTCCATAGGCGTACATTAACCGACGTTTAGTCTTCAACCTAGCCATACTTTTCCAACGAGATGATCATAATTTGTAAATAGATTAGGTCTTTTTAATTGATTAAAAAATCCTGACCACTTATTTTGACGTTTTTTTTTATATATATTCACGTTTAAGAGATTTTCATATCATTTTTCATTACCTTAATTCCATTCGAGTCCATGTGTTCGCTCTTACAGCCAGCATGACATGGGGAAATATATGTTTGCATATCTTCACCACACACAGGCATATAACGCACATAATCACAGTGACAAACACTGTTGCAGCTCATGACTGTGTTCAAAACACTGCTAAATTTATGAAAAATAAAAAATACAATTATAAAATAAGATTAGTAAAACCACCTGTCCCGCAAATAAATGGTAGACCATTACCTATCATAAGAATTGCTAATCGATGATATGTCATTGCCATTGCAGCCAATAAAAGCATAAGCAATCATGCCAGACATAGTAACGATATCGACCAGTATATTCCAAGCGGCTAAATAACGAGCTCTTGGCTTATATTTTGATATGACAAAGCCCGATAAGAGTATGGCTATGGCCGAAAATGCCAAGGCAACAGTACCGGTGATAATACTGGAAAAAATTGAACAACAAGAAAATATTTTAAAGAAAATTAAATTTGTTTGCTTGATGATATTCCAATTACGGTGTGAAAATTCTCAAAAAAAAATATCCACTTCAATTCCACTGATATGGATTATTTGTGAAAACTTAAAACCAATTAAGATCTAATCACTTTTGCTAATTGTTATCGTGAACATTTGACAAATCATTTTATGATGTTTACCAACCTTGAAGTAGCCGCTGATTGGCGATATTGAATTTCAATATATTTGGCCGTAAATATCCAATAGGGAACATAACCAAAGAAATAGAAAACATTCGACGATGAATTGAATAAAATAATCTTGTTTTTGAAAAACATTTTAAATGTGCGAATCATATCGGAGAATGAGGCTTTGTTTTCAATACGCCCCACAGATTTGCCCATATTTTCCTCTTTGGCTCTTAGCTCCAGGACTCGTCTACGGGCTGCAGTCATTGGTAACTCTTTGGGGAAGAGAGACATAAAGAGACCACAAAGGAATATTAACACAGCCATAATAAGCCAACCCATCCACCAGGCACCCAACCAGCGGGAATCACGATTATTGATAATTGGTGTTAAATATGGGGCAATGTAAATACGCAAACAAATGGAAGCCAAGGTATAACCCATTGATGGACCCAATAGGCCAAAGAAATACGAGATACCTAGAATTATAAAAAAGTATATTTTTTATTTTTCTTTATAAATTTCACATGTAACTTACTCAACATGGCTGGTGCCTTGGCCTTTTCGGTATTATCGTCCATATAAGATACACCCAAGGTGTAATAGAGTGAACCTCCAACGCCGGCAATAAATTGTGCTGTAAACAATAACAACTGAGGCAGCAGACTGCCTTCACGCACTTCACATTCTACACCGGTTCCATCATCACGACACAGAATTTTTTGCCTTTGTTCCTCTAATTCTTTCATAGAGATATCAACATCTGAAACGGCTCCATATTCTTTTGTTAAACTTAGAGCATCTTCTCCAGGGCCGTAAATAAAATGTGGTGATACCGTAATCAAACAGTATACAACTAGTGTCAATAGGCCTATGAAGAAAATAATAATTAGTTATTGTTTATTCATACGATTATTCCGTCAGGTGGAGTGTATTTGAAATTTGTCATTCTGTTTGCAACAGCTCCAAGAAGGACCTTTATATATCCTTGATCAGAATAAAAATTATGACGATTTAGTGACAGAGAATTGAAATTTTGCACATACATTGTCATTACTCCTAGAATGTTTGGTATTGAAAATGGGATATATCGGTTCACATAACGGTACCCTCTATTATTCGGTAGTTACCGCATTTTAATACCATACACAACTATGTTGTGGTCTAAGAGTTTTTAACACTGAGAACAACTAGCTGAGACTATCTAGACATGTGTGTTCGTCCGACTGTCCGTCCGTCTGTCCATTATATTTGTAAACACAATACAGGCCACAGTTATGGACCAATCGTCGCGAAAGAAAAATTAACTGGGCTAAAAACTTTGTGTATTTTTTCTGGACGCTCTAGTGCCTACCATTATGGCCCGAACGCCACGAGAATCAACGGGAAGGGAATCTGGCCAAAGAATAAGTATGACTGTTTTAATTAAGATCGGTCAATATTTAGCGTGTCTTTTGTGTTAAAAATTACAAAAAGCGAAATAGACTGAAAACTAAATTTTTGTGTTTGTTTTTTAAGTCTCTCTATAGACCAAAATTGTGGGCCGAACATCACAACACAACACATTGGGAAGAGAATCTGACCAACTAATTAGAAGGGACAATATTTAGCGGGTCAAATCAACCCAGACATGTCTGTGTAAAATTCACGTTATGGCGTATATGTTTACATGGTTCGGAAAATATGCCATGGTAAGAAAGAGGATTTGTTGATCTCTTATCCGTCAAATAACGTCCACGGATCCACAGAAAGTATGAATTCCTTGGTAGTTGTGTAGATTTCTTACCGCACTAGACGCCGAACATCACACATTATCATGGGGAAGAGAATCTGGCCAACTAATGAGAAGGTCGGTTAAAGATCGGACAATATTCAGCGGGTTAAATCAACCAAGACTTAAATGACAAAATTTGCCTTTTATGGCGTAAATTCTTACCTCGGGAAAACAAGATTCGGAATATATGCCAGGTTACGAAAGATGAGCTGTTACCCTTTAATCGGTGAAGAGGGTGCTAATATAGTGAAATAATGCCCAGATTCGCAATATAATTCCGCAGAGAGTTAGAGTTTCGTGGTAGTTGTGTAGGGTATGCTCAGTGGTTTTGTCTTATTTTCTAGTTACTCTAAACATCTCAATTATTAGCCAAACATCACAAATTTTCCATGGTACAGGGAATCTGGACAACTAATTAGAAGATCAGTTTAGATAATTTTCGAAAAATATTTAGCGGGTCAAATCAACAAAGATTTTCTGTGTAAAATGAAAATAGATTACGTTAGGTTGAAAAGAGGGGTGGATGATACCACCACATGCCTAACGTGAGAAGGACATACACTTAAGCCATGAGGCCTGTTGTGCGCTCTAGATGTGCGGAGAAAGTACAAATCAAGAATTAGTGAAAGTGTATATTATAAAGAAAAACATTTGAGTTTGATTCCCTATGAATCTAGCAATTCCGTGTTTTTTGCGAGCTCCTTCAGTAATTTTCAAAAATATTTCGCTTAGTCAAATGAAGAGTTTCATTTAAAATCAAAAAGATTTCGAAAATATGCTAGGTTATAACAGAAGAACGGTTAACGTCTAATCGGCGAAGAGGATACAAATATCTCGAATTATTGCCCAGGCTGGGAATATAGATCCGTAGAGATTTATAGTTTCGTGGTAGTTGTGTAGGGTATTATATGTTCGGTCCGCTAACTTGTTTGTTAATTTTTTGGTTATTCGAGTTCAAATTGGGCAACAAATCTCCCTATCAAAACTCATCGATATCGGTCCTTCTTTAGGGTAGGCCCCATACAACGCTACATCCCCAATTTCGGTATTTTGGGAGTGTGAGCACGTGATTCACTCGAATTGGTTGTAATTTTATTTTTTGGATTCTCATTGAGTAGTAAATCTTCCTACCAACCATTACAAAGATTTGCCCATGTTTCCGGATAAACCCCATATAATGTTACCTTCCATTTTTCGGTATTTTGGGAGGATTGGACACGTTTATCAACCGAATTGGCTGCGATTTTATTTTTAATTTTTTCATGTGGTGTCAAATATTTGTAACAAAACTTTTCAATATAGGATTGCGTTTTGATATAGCTCCGGTATTGTGATTTTATAGAGGTGGCTCTAATTTGGGTAGCTTCATATAAGGGTAGCGCCCCTTTGTCAATATCTTGAAGGTTGTAGCTGCTTTTTCTCCATTGTAGTAGAGAGTTCCGAGTTATGGAGGGTAAAACACATTTTTTCCGACAATTGTCTATGTAGTCCAAGTTTTTATATAGTCGACTACATAGTGCAATAACATAGTTCCCATATAAAGGCCCTGACCGATTTCCAGAATTTTGAATGCACACCATATTTAAAGTAGCCCTCACGATGGCTCCCAAATTTTGGTATTTTTGTGAGTTTAGGGCCGTTTTTTTAGCCAAATTAACTTTAATTTATATGCTCATTTGGTCAAGTCTTACTTCCAAAAATTAACAATATCTGTCCCCGTTTAAGTATAGCCCACTATTTGGTATTTTGAAGATTTCATATATCTTTTTTGCAATCACGCGACATTTCCGGTATTTTCTGATTCCTGATTGTTTGTCAATTTTAGTAATTTTCAATGTCTATCTCAAGGTGGATGTTCGAACTTAACGGCATTTTTATTTATTTTTCACTTATTTTCCTCTACTTACCAAAAGCCATCCAACGTGGTCGATGTTTTTTACCCGCATAATAACCCAAAAATGCCGAACACAGCACCTGGCTCAAATCATTGCCAATCATAATCATACCGGTATTACGAGAGGGTATTTTAAAACGTTTCTCAAGTGTTGAGATTGTGGCATTAAAATAGGCACTTGCCATGGCGAAAACACAACCGACCATGCCATAAATTATAACGTAAGCTGTTTTATTAGCAAATCTACAACAAAAATAAACAATAAGCAATGATATTTTACAACAAAAAATTAAACACAAATTACTTTTGCATAAATGCTCCTTTTAAAAATCCCACACCACAAGTGGTATCCTTTGTCAAAGGCATTTCTTCGTAGACACGTCGCACTTCCTCGGCATCGATGGATTTTTGTTTATCCAATAGTTTTTTACTCGATTCCGGATCATTTTCTATGTCCTTATCCGTTTTAGACATTTTGACTAGTTTATGTTTCAGACAATTTTACGCTAGAATTAATATCACGTTTTTCTATCACGCACTCATTGAAGACTAACTAAAAACTAATCGTTACCTCTTTCATGAGCAACGATTGCCAACCGAATGATTGTAATTCGACTAAGTAAAATTTATCGAAATGGAAATTGCAGCGGTGGCTAGGGGCGGACAGCACATCTTATCAGCTATTTTATACGTCTATACGCTTGTACTTCATATTTTTTACTGTTGTTTATTTGACCATATTTACTTCAAAAATAAAGATATGCACCCTACTGATTGGCAGGTGTACACACAATTGTAAATGTAAAGACGGAGGCATTTCTTTACATATGGATTAAGTGAATATATTCGCATTAATGTGATATGTCTTTGTTCAAAGATTAATGTTTCATTAAAGGTAATCTTGTTTATTTAGGAGATTTTTTTTTTAATTTTTCAAATACTTTCAAATGATCTGTGAGGCCCCCTAATATTGTGATACCTTAAGTTTATTGGCGATATAATTTCAATTGGTTAAAAATTAATTTCACTGATAAGCTAGTTTGGTATATTAGCATATAAAGTGTCTAGGTCATTAAAACGAAATGATTGAGAATGAAGAAAAACGTCTAGTTAGTTTTCGGTGAGCAATTTGTATTGTAATAGTAAGGAGATACAATATTCAAATTTAAATTCCGCTCCACCACATAAACATGACACAGTTCGGAAATATCTGATCCCTAACCTTAGAAACCCAAAGAGTGATGACGAAAATTATACTTTTTATACTTTTTTGTTGACATATGTCGTTTTTAATTTTTTTTTCTTTTTATTTTACCCCTAAAGTTTATTAAGAAAATGCTGTATATTTCGTCTCACATCACTTTATTCTGTTCACAAATCCATTGGATAATATTTGACGTATACGCAATGGAATTGACATTTGAGATCGAGTGGATTTCGTATATCTAAATGTTTTTGCTTGCATCTATTGTAGTTTATTTTCGAAATAACTATTTTTGTAAAACATATCGAATTCTAGTGCATCTTTTTCGTTCTTACTTCTTGAACCGTAAATTAACCGAACCAATCCATAAAAATGACATTCTGCAACCTATACTAATTTTTTTCATTTGTACAATCGCTCATTTGCTGCAAGACAGGCATTAGATTCTTCATAACTTTTGAAAGCGTAATGGTTCAGAAATATTTTGAATGTTTATTAAAAGCTTATAACCTACTCAATGCGACAATATTAAAGATTGTTTGACAAAGGTGTCATATTAACAATAAAATACAGTTTGCTAGGATCCGTTATAATTTTTGAACAAGTAAACATTTGCACTACGATAAGAGTTATAGGAAAAAGAAATGAGTTGTATAATTTTCATATAGGCATGCATCAAATAAGGCACATCAGTTTTTCGCCCCCTCCCCCACATAATGGTGCCTGCTCATCATTCTGCACTTTGATTTTCACGAAACTCAGCACACATCACTCTAGGCTCAATTCAGTACGTCATGCCAAATTTCGTGCAAATCGAAAGATATATAGGGACTTTGGTGCACCATTTACATTAAATCGGACGAAACTATATATTGCTATATCACAACATTTTCACAAACTTGGCAGACATCATTCTAGGCTCAATTCAGTACTTTATGTCAAATTTCATGCAAATCCCCCATATATACCACTTTACACCAAAAATCGGACGAATATATATATGGGATGGGCTATATCTTAATCTGAACCGATTTTCACGACACTTGACAGACATCACTTTAGGCTCAATTCAGTACTATGCCAAATTTCATGCAAATCAAATTATATATAGGGACTTTGGTGCACAATTTACATGAAATCGGACGAAACTATATATGGGAGCTATATCTAAATCTGGACCGATGTTCACGAAATTTGGCAGACATCACTCTAGGCCCAATTCAGTACGTTATACCAAATTTCGTGCAAATCGAAAGATATATAGGCACTTTGGTACACCATTTACATTAAATCGGACGAAAATATATATGGGAGCTATATCTAAATCTGAACCGATTTTTCCCAATTTCAATAGGGTTCATCCTTGGGCCAAACAAATGAGCTGTGCCAAATTTCATCCAATTCGGATCATAAATGCGACCTGTACTTTGCTCACAAAAATACATGGACAGACATGTAGGGACTTGGCTGCACCATAAATCGACTTAAAATATATATATTCTCAAAAGGAAGCTATATCTACAAACATATGCACAAAGATTTTACCACAGTGTGCAAGGGTAAGGGTTCGTCCTTGGGCCTTACAAATGAGCTGTGCCAAATTTCATCCAAGTTTACAATTTAACACCAAAGACGGACGGACATGCATAAATCGACTTAAAAAGTGATTCTATGCATATTCTCTCGTTTCCTTTTGCCTGTTACAAACATATGCACAAAGACACAATACCCTGATCCACAGTGTGGTGAAGGGTATAAAAATGTCAATATAGGTTTACATGTTCAGTTTTTAGTAGACATCAGACACATTCTTCCACGGTTGTGGTTGTCATTTCGTATAAAGGGTTATTACAGCGTTACAGACATATATATAAAAGATTATTAATATGTTTTGACATAGGGTAGCACCCTGTATATTGATAGTTTAAGAAACATTTTCCCATTGTAGTGGCTGTAATTGGTGCTACCTATGCATTGGAGGGTAAAATAAACTTTTGCGGAAAACTTTTTGGCATATTTTGGCATATAGGATTCATGGCGAATAAAACAAACTTCGTTTCAGAAATTATTCAATATAGTTTCAAACCAGCGAGCGGGGTCGTGCAGGACAGACCATATTATACCCTACACAACTTCCGCTGCAATTTAAGTTTCTGTGGATCAATATTTCTAGCCTCTGCAATATTAATTGCATTCTAATAAATGATCAGTTTCCCTTCCTCATGTTACATGTGCCTCTAGAGCGATTAGAAAACCAGACAAAAATAAATAAATATTCGGTCTATTTCGTCCCTGAAATATCATATGATCATCATCGAAAATTATAGGCGTCGTCCTTGTCCATAACTGGAACTTTATGTGAAATTTTAAAGCAATTAGCGCGTATTTCCGCCATCTAGTGTAGAAATTATAATAATAAACAACTTAAGATTAAGAAGACCCTATTAAATATTTAGAAAATAATTAGTACAAATATAATGATCAACCACCCCACTTGGATATACTATCAACTTCTCCAGTCTAAGTCCTTTAGGAGTAAATGTTTACGCCATATAACTAAAATGTTTTTTTGAGTCTATATGACCCGCTAGTCAAAACAGTCATATTTATTCCATGGTCAGATATTTCTGGGCCTTACAAACTGTTGGGCCACACGAAGCTATAGTGCCCTTACAACATAGTTCTATAAGGTATAAATAACCCGCATACAAATGCCTCCTTTAATTTGTGTATGTTGAAGGTCCTACCCCAACTGTCCAATCATTATTTTTATACCCTACACAACTAAGCATGCCTGTTTTGATAAAGATCGGTCAACATTTAGCGGGTCTAATTGACCCTGACTTTTGTGTGAAAAATTACAAAATGTTTATTCTACGGCATATATATTTAGTCCTGAAGGACATATACCCGAGAAGTTGATAGTATATCCAAGAGGAGTGGTTGACCTGTAAATTGATACCAATTATATTGTCGTATGTACTCGGATGCGGAAGCTACACTTAAATATTTACAGGTGCTTACGAATTCAGATATTATTTAGTAAGCCATTAGCGCACTATAGGGCGGAAATAAAGCACTGATCGCTTTGAAATTTTCCATGAGGTTCAAGTTATGGTCAAAGACAACGCTTATACTTTTCGCTGATGATCACATAATCATTTTCAGGTGGACCAAAAACGTATTTTGTTTTTGTATTTGTTCGACTCAATCTATAGGCCGAACATCATAACACAACCCACGGTGAAGGGAACATGGACAATTAATTAGAGGACTGTACTGGATATTAGTAATATTTGGAAAATATGTCAGTGTAAGGAAGTGGTGCTGTTGACCTCTAATCGGGCAAGAGGGTGTAACTATCATGAAATAGTGCCTAGGCTCGGAATAAAAATCAGGAGAAAGTAAGAGTTCCGTGGAAGTTGTGTAAGGTATCGTATGGTCGGCACCGTCCGACTATACTGCTCCGCTCACTGGTTTTAATTTAGAATATTATTTTTGCAGATCCTGAAAACCCCATTACCACTTTATGCAATAACAATTTTCAATAATATTATTTTCAGAGTTAAATTTACTAATTTCGCTTTTCTTCTCTATAAAACGATTTTTTACCATATTAACTCAATAGAATTCCATTTAATTTTATTTCGAAAAAAGTATTTCTTTACATTATATGGTAACATTACACATTATGTGTATACAATAAAACTTAACAAATATCAATAAAATTAATTTCCAAAAAATACCAACAATAATAATATTTGTCTCCAGAACGTTTTTTTTTCTATTTCACTTTCTGAATTTATAATAAAAAATAAATGATTAAAAAAACAAGATCACATTCACACAATATGGCATTCACTCAACAAACACTTCTATAATACTAACTCTCACACACACTCTCGCACGCATAAACCTACAGAAACATATAACAGTTATTTATAGATTCTTCTATTGGTGAAAAAATAAGAATAAGAAGTAAATGATGCGATCATCTCTCTCTCCCTCTCAGCGTAATCTCTTATTAAATTTCTGCTTTCATAGATTCTTCCTCCTTTTGAACAATTTCCATTTCAACTTCTTTCACCTCATCATCGAATATTTTAAGGTCTTTGACATAATACCAGACACCGCAATCGAATATTGCACCAATGGCTATGAAAACGGCAGCTGTCATATTTAAGATATATCTAAAGGAAGTACGAGTTAATAATTTCATATTTGGATATGATTTTACAAAAACTCCTACCTTAGAGATTCGGGATCGTATAGCCAACAGTTGCCTTTGTTTGTACACGTTTTACCCCACACCAAACACAAACGATCCAATACCCAACCAAAGAATATGGGACTTGGTATAAATGCCAACATCGACATCATCATCATACCAAAACCCATGGCAGCCGTTTTATCTTTTTCCGGTACACAGCGAACTGTAACCAAGAAATTCGATGCTCTCCCCGTGGCACCAATAAATTTCAAACCACACATTACCGCCAAAAAGGTAACAAATTGTGTGAAACAATTGACCGGACAGGCACCCGAAATGGCCTGCCCACCATCACCCAGAAAATGCTGAAGAAAAAAATTAAATATATAAACTGTAAATTTGATGGAGATAATAATTTAATATTTTTATAACATACATTTTCATTCGAATTTGCCAAAGTTGTCAGCATTGATGACGAAGCCGTTGAATACTTGAAATCCACATCGTCTGTTAGGTTTATCGCTGTTAGCCGCTCAAATGCCGGGTTTATATTTATTGTAGCGTTAACGGTTGGAATACAGGAGCAATCATAGAAGAACTACAATTGAAAATTTTAAAATAATTTATTAGAAATGAATGACAATAAAACTATTTGTGAATTTTATCCAGTCTGGGGATTTTATGCGAATATCGAGGGTTTATTCTAAAATCGGCACAAAAGAGAATATTATGAAGATTCGATTGTATCAAATATATTTTGGAGATTTTTGTTTTTCAAACGAATTATTATTGTTAATTTAGTATTTTGAGCTCTCATTGCTGCCAATTTTTTCTATAAAAATATCAATAATGTTATGGATATTGTTAGGCCTTCATATAAACGGACTCCCATTTTTCGGCTGTAATTTGGGACTTTTAATGCACATTGGGTAGCAAAGATACCTATCATAATTCGAGAATATTAGGTCACTTTTTAGGATAGCGATACCATCAAATTTCGGTATTTTAGTGACTTTAGATAAGTTTTTCAACCAAATTGATCGAAATCAGTGATCTATCGGTGCTAAATTGATAACTTCTAAATCATTTGAGATACGTTGCTGAAATCTTCCTAGGATTTGAATTTTAAATAATTATTTTTGAATGTCTACCAGATTTTGTCTCAATCGGACAAATATCGGGAGTTTGGTGCACCATTTAGGTAAAATCGGACGAAAATTATATGGGAGTTATTTCTAAATTTCAATAGGTTTCGTCATTGGGCCAAATAATTGAGCTGTGCCAAATTTAATATAAATCGGATCAGAAATGCGATCTGTTTTTTGTTTACAATTTAACATGGACAGACGGATTGGCGGACATGCATAAATCGACTTAAAAGGTGATTCTATGCATATCCTCAAAAGGAACCATGTGTCTATCTCTTTTCCTTTTGCATGTTACAAAATCATGCAGAAAAACATAATACCCTGTGCCACAGTGTGGTGAAGGGTATACAAATATTTTTTGAATGTCTACCACTTATTTTTTAAAGAATAGTTTTGAAGCTCTAACAAGCTACAAAGCTGCCCATAAGGAGCGTTTTTTTAAATATATTTTGAAGTGCACCATAGGCTTAGATTTGTTAAAAAATATTTTAGGGTCTTCCATAGGTTTCGATTGAAAAAAAAATATTTTAAGGTTTAACATTTAAATGGATTAAAAAAATAGGATTCTCCATAGGCTTGTTTTTTAACGAATATTTTTAGGGTACTCCATAGGCTTGGTTTTTTAAAAAGAATATTTTTATGCCTACTGCGTAGGCGTTAATTAAAACAAAAACATTTTTAGGGTCCTCCATAGACTTAAATTGTTTACAAAAATATTTTAGGGTCATCCATAGGGTGGTTTCTTTTTAATTACTTTTTAGGACCCTCCATAGACTTGATTTTTTTACAAAAAATATTTAAGGGTCATCCATAGACGTGGATTTAAAAATATATATCGACGCCTCCAAACCATAGTATGCTAAGTCTGAAAAGTGAGTTTTTCAGTAGAAGCTTTCAAAATATGGAAGTTTCTTTAATCGTACGTGCCATGCTAAGTACATTTTTGCTTATAACTTTGGTTTGGATTGGCCGATGATTACCAAAATTTCAGTGAATTTAAATTAAGGCTAAGTCGACTTAGCATACTATGGTTCGGAGGCGTCGATATATTTTTAGGGTCATCCATAGGCATGAATTTTTGACGATGGATTACAATTTAACTACAAATCTATATGACCCAGAATTGTATTTTAAACTAACACATACCCGCTACTTCCTTAGCGAATGTGTGAAATATTTAAACATGTATTAACATATGATTTTATTTACACAGAAAACTGCATATGCCAGAAAAACTAAACAATCCAGACATTAATATCGACCATAAGTTAAATTTGAATACCATGATTCAAATCAAATTTTTACCAAATTTAATTCCATTTAGCACACTATTATTTCCATAAGTACCCTCCTCAACCATCCAACAAAACTTCCTGCATACCCCGATCCTACACCCCCCGCAATAATTCCAAATTCAAATTTCAGGATTCCAACTCTATCGGTTCAACCACAATTCAAATTGTACCAAATTTAGTACATAGTAGTATGAATTTCCAAAACATCCTACATACCCCAATCCTACACCCCCACAGTGATCCACGTTTCAGGTTTCCAACTCTGTCGGTTCAACCACAATTCAAATTGTACCAATTTCACTACAGAGTAGTACGAATTTCCAAATCTTTCTATTTAACCCAAACCTTCACCACACATTGATCCTATATTAATGTTTCAGGATTCCAACTCTATATGTTCACCCACAATTTAAATTGTAACAAATTTTGTACATACTAGTGCCAATTTCCAAAATTTCCTACATACCCCAATCCTACACCTCCACAGTGATCCTAAACCAACATTTTCGGATTCCACCTCTATCACTTCACCCACAATTTAAATTGTATCAAATTTAGTACACATTAATACAAATTTCTAAAACTTCCTACATATTTCAATCCTAAATTCATGTTTAAGGATTCCAACTCTATCACTTCACACACAATTCAAAACCAAATTTAGTATACAGTAGTACGAATTTCCAAAACTTCCTACATACCCCCATCCTACACATCAATCCTACACAGTGATCCTAAATCCAAAATTTCTGGATTCAGCGTACAATTTAAATTTTACCAAATTTAGTACAAATTTCTAAAACTTCCTACATATCTCAATCTTCCACCTCAACAGTAATCCTGACTCCAAATTTCATGATTCTAGCTCTATTGGTTCACATAAAATTCAAATTGTACCAAATTTAGTACCATTTAGTACTCTTATGTATTAATTACTTAAACTGAATCCTGATCCTAATCCTACACCCCTACAATGATCCTAACACCAAATTTATACAATGAAATTTGGTGTTAGGATCATTTAGTAATTTTCGTACACATATGTAAAAAATTTCCAAAACTACATATCACAATCCTACACTCCGACGGTAATGGTAATTTCAAATTTCAGGATTCCAGCTCGATTTGTATCTCCAAATTAAATTTGTACCAAATATAGTACCATATTGTACTTTTCGTACAAATGAGTACACGCTTTCATAACCATCTCCTTAAATAGACCCTACATCTCAATCCCATTTCGTTTTTAGCTCTATCCATTTACATGCTAGGAAATTGTACCAAATTTAGTACTTTTCGTATACTTAAAGTTCGAATGTCTAAAAAACCATTTGATATATATATTCTACACCCCATCAGTGACACTCATTTAAAAAAGTTCTAGCTCTACCGTTTCGCCAAATAAAAATGATATCGCATTTAGTACTTTTTGTATCGTTCTAGTACGAATTTCCAAAAACCCAGCCTTATCCGTCACTTTTGGACCAAGAGTGACCCTCACCCAAAATTTTAAGATTCTAGCTTCAGCCGTTTCGTCTGGGTGTTGATGAATCGTTAAGTCACTTTATTGGGGACAATATGGGCTTTAAAGTCTACACTCTTAAACATTTACAATTGCCGATAAGGAAATAAAGTCTTAACGATTCGAAATTTAAAAACCAGTAAGGAAAGTAGTAAAGTCGGACTGGGCCGACTATATGATACCCTTCACCACTTTGGGTATATTCAACAGATGTATCCTAAGATGTATCATATCGATGCACCAATTACATAAAACCGGACGAAAATATATATGGGAGCTACATTTAAATCTGAACCGATTTTCACGAAATTTAGCTCTCGTCATTCTAAACTTAATTCAGTACGCTATGACAAATTTCGTGCAAAATGAATGATTTTCAAAGACTTTGGTGCACCATTTACCTAAAATCGGGCGACTATATATATATATATATATATATGGGAGCTTTATATACATCTGAACCGATTTTCATGAAACTTGACACACATTATTATAGACGCAATTCAGCACGCTATGCCAAATTTCGTGCAAAGATATATAGGGTCTTAAAAGCACCAATTACCTTAGATGAAAATATATGTGGAATCTATATCCAAATTTGAACCGATTTCAGACATCACTCTAAGCTCAATTAAGTACGTTTTGCCAAATTTCTTGCAAATCGAAAGATATATAGGGACTTTGGTGCACCATTTACATAAAATCGGACGAAAATATATATGGGAGCTATATCTAAATCTGGACCGATTTTCAGGAAACTTGGCAGACATTATTCTAGGCTTAATTCATTACGCTGTGCCAAATTTCGTGCAAATCGAACGATATATAGGGACTTTGGTGCACCATTTACATAAAATCGGACGAAACTATATATGGGAGCTTGGCAGACATTATTCTAGGCTTAATTCATTACGCTGTGCCAAATTTCGTGCAAATCGAACGTTATATAGGGACTTTGGTGCACCATTTACCTTAAATCGGACGAAAATATATATGGGAGCTATATCTAAATCTGAACCGATTTTTCTCAATTTCAATAGGGTTCGTCCCTGGGCCAAATAAGTGAACTGTGCCAAATTTCATCCAAATCGAATCATAAATGCGACCTGTACTTTGTTCACAAAAATACATGGACGGACGGACGGACAGACGGACATGCGTAAATCGACTCAGAAAGTGATTCTATGCATATTCTTAAAAGGAACCATGGGTCTATCTCGTTTCCTTTTGCCTGTTACAAACATATGCACAAAGACATAATTCCCTGTACCACACTGTGGTGAAGGGTATAAAAACAATATAATTTTAATTCTTACCTTTTTACCCGTTTTACTAATATATTGTTTCTTACAGCCAGCATGACATGGAGAAATATAGGTCATATTATTTTCACCACAAACCGGTGAATAGCGGACATAATCACAACCACAGGCAGAATTACAGGTTGGTGTAGCATCGAGAGCCCTGTTGACAAAAACATATAAAAATTAAATATATTAAAGATTTTGAAAAAATTACAACAAATTATTACTTACTTATCATGAATATTCACCACAACCGATTGTTCATTTCCAGGACAACCAATGAAGGCGTACGATACAATACCAATTACGGTTAGAAAGCCCACGATGACATTCCATGCGGCCATATAACGAGCACTGGGCTTATATTTTGAAATGACGAAACCAGATAGTAATACACCAATGGCGGAAAAAGCCAGAGCCACAGTACCAGTAACCATACTAGAAAGAAAAATTAAAATCTTCAATTAGTACATAAAATACATACGTTGTTTATTTGTTGCCCTTTACCTTGATGTTGACGCCGATTGACGATATTGAATTTCAATATATTTCGGTGCAAATATCCAATATGGTGTATAACCAAATAAATAAAATACCGATGAGAAATTATTATACATCAGTGTCTTGTTGGTGGTTAGACGTTTAAAGGTCTTCATCATATCCCTAAAGGATGCCTTGTGCTCAGCTGGGGGTTTTTCCTCCAGCTGTTCATTGAGTATGTCTTTTTCATTCTTTTCTTTATCTTTTATCGAAACTCTTTGTTTGCGTCTTTCTTCTTCGACCTTACGACGTGCTACTGCCCGTGGCAAATCTTTGGGGAACATTGTCAGCAGAATTCCCGATAAAAATATCATGGCACCTATTATTAGCCAACCCATCCACCAAGCGCCCAACCAGCGAGGATCTTTCATTTTTATAACAGGATGTAACTGCGGAGCAATATAAATTCTTAGACACAGTGATGCCAAGGCATAACCAATGGCGGGTCCCAACATTCTTAGGAAATAGGACAAACCTGGAAAACAAACACAAACACACACACATAAACCTTATTTATTATGCAAATTATTTCATCACCTTGAAAAACTTGTTGTCCCCCCTATTTGAATTATCTTTTAATTATCCACAATACATCACAATTATCTCAAAACCTAATTATATTTGTCTAACGACCATATATCTCATTTCGTTTTATTGTCACACTTACTTAACAATGCTGGCGTCTTAGATTTCTTGATGTTATCATCCATATATGACACGCCCAGGGTATAGTATAAAGAGCCTCCGATACCCGATATAAACTGCGCTGTAAATAATACAACTTGTGGTGCAAAATTACCCTCGCCTGCTTCGCATTCGGTAGCACCATTTAAACGGCACAGTGTTTTCGACCGCTGTTCTCGTATGGCTTCGATTGTGGCGTTTTCATCTGGCGTTGCACCGAATTCCTGTGTTAATGCCAAGGCATCATCGCCGGGGCCATAGAGGAAATGAGGTGCAGCCGTTAACAGGCAAAACATTACAATTGTAAGAAGACCTAGTTTTGGGGAAAAAAAATAATTTGTAATTTACTCCATGTTTATTATTTGTCTATCTCTCTCTCTCTCTCTTACCAAAACCTATCCATCTTGGTCGATGTCCTTTGCCGGCATAATAACTTAAAACCGCTGATACTAACATCTGACTGATATCATTGCCCACCGATATGAGACCTGTATTTTTTGATGGTATTTTAAAACGTTTCTCTATCGTTGTTATCGTTCCATTGAAATAGGCATACGTCATTGAGAATATACAACCGACCAAGCCATACAATATGACATAGGATGTTTGGTTGGCAAATCTGTAAAGAAGAAAATCATAAATAGAATATAATTCGAAGAACGGACTAATAAATGGTAATACATCCACTTTTGAAGACTGCATGAAATCGGGCGTATCCTTATATAAAAGCTATGTATAAACACTGATCAATATCGATAATATTAGTTCTGTGCTTAATTAATGGAAGACCCAATATATAGCCAATTTTTAGGGCCCACTTGGTTGGAAAAATTAAAACAAAAAAGTAAAAACAAAAACAGTGAGCGGAGCAGCATAGTCGGACGGGGCCGACCATATGATACCCTACACAACTTCGACGAAAATCTAACTTTCTTTGGTTCTATATTCTGAGCATTGGTACCAATATAAAGGCCAACCTCTCCTTTTGGATATATTATCAACTTCTCGGGTCTATGTCCTTCAGGAGTAAATATATACGCTATATAATACAAATTTTGTAATTTTTCACGCAAAAGTCAGGGTTCATTTGACCCGCTAAATATTGACCGATCTTTATCAAAACAGGCATGTTTATTTTTTGACCCTGTCCCCTTCTCCATGTAAAATTTCGCGATGTTCGGGCTATAATTGCGGCTTCTGGAGCGACCAGAAAAACCGACAAAAAATTAGTATTTGGTCCATTTCATCCCCTTAAATATTAAGATCTCCACCAAAAAAAAAGGGGGTTTTCATTGGCCAGAACTCAACCTACATTTCGTGAAGATTGGTCCATAACTGTGGCCTGTATCGTGTTTACAAATTATAATGGACAGACGGACTGACGGACGGACACACATTTCTACATCGACTCAGCTAGTCGAGATATGACGATCGGTATACATAAAGGTGGGTCTAGGACAAATATTTCGCGGCGTTACAAGCTCTTGGGGCTGCACAAAGCTATAATAATTGAATTCTCGGTGAGTAGAAAATCTCCCTACCAAAAATTATAAATATTGGCATAAGTTTCAGCTTTCAGCTTACCAATATAGTGGTAATGTCCATTTTCCTACTAAAATAATGTCACATTGCATATATGCAAAAATGATCAATATAGGTCCATGTTTTGACACAGCCCTCACATAGGTAGCTACCCACTGCTAATATTTTGAAAGAAAGGCATTCCGTGATATTGAAGGATAAAAAACATGTTTGCAGAAAATTAACCATTTATATATAGCCCCCACTCAAAAGGTCCCGTCCGATTTTTATACCCTACACAACCATGTTGTCAGGGTGTTATAGCTTTGTGCAGCACCAAGAGTTAGTAACGGCGCGAAATGTTGATCGGATCGGATCGGTCGGATTTTCTAGTCGCTCCAGAGGTCGCAATTATGGTCCATCCAAGTGGAGTGGTTGACCTTCAAATTTTTACCAATTATATTGTTGTATATACTCGGGTGTTGGATGTGTCTACGTATTCCGATATTATTTAGTAACACATTACCACTGGGTAAATATAGCTCTGATAGCTTTGAAATTATCTATGTTCCATTTATGGTCAATGAAAACGCCTACAGTTTTCGGTGATGATCAAATGGCAATCAGAATATAGGCCACAGTTATAACCTCAAAATCACAACACAACCCACAGTGAAGGGAATCTGGACAATTAGAAGGGCTGTACTGTACAATAATAATATTCGGAAAAAAAGTCAGTATGTGGAATAGGTGCTGTTGACATATAATTGGGCAAGAAATTTTGTCCAGTCTTGGAATAAACATCCACTGAATGTTAGATTTCCGTGGCTGTTGTTTAGGGATTTTTGTTTTTTTACGTTTAGGCTGATTTTTGAGTTTTAGTCTATTCTGAGACTTATAGTAAAACTTTATGGCGAACATTTCTGTAGAATATTCTGAGCAGCTTTAACCCCGTTTTGAATGAGTTTTCAATCACTCCTGGAAAAGGGTCCGAAAAGACCCCTTTTATGAGTCGGTTGAGGGTTAAAGTTGCATACCAAAATATTCCTCGATATTTTATCAGTAATATTGCCGAAGACACTACATACCTAAAATGCAAGGATTTCAAGAAAGCATAATCCGAAAATGATCAAAATTCTTGAAAAGGGGGAATATTGGCCCGCTTTTTAGGTTACCTCCCGACGTAAACTTTAAAAACGCCGATACACGTGTCTTCTTTTTTAGCTCCTCTTTCATAATCTGTTGGAATTTCCCGGTAATTATAAAAAAAAAATTAAAATTTGTCGCACAGTGTAATATTCCGTGTAAGGAATAGGTGCTGTTGCCATCTAATTGGGCAAGAAATTTTGTCGAGGCTTGGAATAAACATCCGCTGAATGTTAGAGTTCCGTGGCAGTTGTGTAGGGTGTCGTATGGTTGACCTCGTTCGACTTTACTGCTCCGCTCACTGGTTTTTAGATTTTTTTTTTCAAATTTTGAAGAGCCAAAAAAATTATTTTAAAAAAATTTCCATATCAGTCAACGTGTTGACATAATTAAAATAGAAAGGTCTCGCCTCATCGGCAACAAATCCGACAGTTCTTCGTAAAAAAAATCGTAATGCACAATTTATTGGAAAATTATTAGTATTTGTATATACAAGATTTTCTGAGCATAGATCGGGTAAACGTGGAAAAGTACGATGTAAACTTACGAATATCGAGTTTTAGTCTTTGTGGACCCTCCCTTAAATCATAGGAGCAATATTTTTTTATAGAGAACAAACAAACATCTAAGCTTGTTCTGGAAACTAAGGACGAAAAAGACGCATAAAGATTTGAGGTTTGTTTGAGATTTGTTTTACAAAAATATTCGATTTGAATAAAAAACCTGCAATAGCCGTAAACAATAAACGTAAAGCATACCAGCACAAAAAATTACGAATGTATCCATATGGATTCTTAGTATAAGCATCTGGCAATGATCGTTTATCAAAAAAATGAGATCCTCCGAAATAACGAAATATACACAATTTTTCTTGCGAGGTCGGGACCTTTATGATAAGATTATTTAAAACCATGGAATTTTCATTCAATATTTCTACAATGACGGCTTTCTGCCTCCAAAAACCCTAAAATATAGACTCTTCGGTTGAAAAATATTACTGAAATCTTCAAAATATTTTCTAACTAGAATCGGTAAGTTCTTCATTTAAATCTACTCTCTACTGCAGACCCCTAACTTGTCTGCAAAATTGAGTCACACTGTTGAATTAAAGAATATATTATTCTTCAACATTTTCAAATATTATACGGAAAAGAATACCATTCGCATTCTTAAATTTTTAAGAATTTAAGAATGCTTCGAATGTGAAAATTTAAGAATGCTGTGACCATTTGATATTAATTAAGTCAAAATTTCTGCAGACATCCCTCTAACTCTTTCACACTTTTTTCCACATACATATTCTACTTACCTCTGCAAAAACCGTCCTTTGAATATCCAAAAACCACAGGTCATATCATCTGTCAGTGGCGTGTCACGCAACCATTTATTTATTTCTTCTGTTGTATTACGATCTAATTCGGATTTTTCATTTTTCTTAAGACCATTTTTCGGTACAGTTCCATTTTGTGGAACTTTAAGCAAACGTGCCTCGACATCAATAGCATCACGATCGTCGGTGGGTTCACTTATGCGATTATCGTTGGCGTCACTTTTGTGTGATGAATTTTCTTCGATCTCCACCATGTTTTTTAGTTAATTATTTATATATTCTTTTAAATTTCTTATTAAAATTATAAATTAATCATTCACTTCTTTTTCACTTTTCATAGGACATTAGTAAAGAATTTGTGTTTTGCAATCACTTAGGGGTATAATATCGTATTTTATATTTTTTAACACTTTATTTTCTGCCATTTACTTTAATCTTAGGGGGTCTTGAGGTCCTTTATATATGTCTATATATGTTTATCCGTTACTTTGTGACTGTGCTCGGGGCCAGCCACCACTGAAGTGTTATTTTGAAAAATGCTGCCGTTAATAATCACTCTTCGCCTTTAGTACTGAAAACGCGTCAAAGATTAACAGTGGCACGAAATGTAATCACATCTATTTGGTCTCTGGATAAAGATAATGATAGGCGTCTCTATTATCGGAGTATATTCTTCTTCTACTTGTGTTATAACCTGTCATCTTTTTTTAGCTATTCAAATAGAGTTTGTTTTGTTTGTCACATTTATTCTTCCTTCAGACATGTTCGCTGGGGGGTTGTATATTTCTATCCGATATAATGTTGATCATCTGAATTAAGAGTGTGTGTGCGCGCGACCGGTTGTTTTTCTACGAAAAAGGAAGCTAAAACTTTTATTGATCGTAATATCAAGTAACCGAGATTTCTTGTTATAGATATAAAGGGTTGTAATTTTTGTTGATGTATTATCACAACTTGTTTGTGTCAGTTGGTTATTGACCTATGGTGTGCTGTGAAATTTTAAATTTTTTTGGTGAATTTTGTTTTTGTGAAATTTTTGATAATGATTTGCAAATATCTGGAAAAATAAGACTAAAACCTCAGTCAAGGTATTTACACATTCGAAAGTTGAAGGCTAAATTGTCGATATATTAGAGATTTTTTTAAACAAACATAGAACTGAGTTTTAGAATTGATACATATTTTGCACAATGTAATATTTTTTGATACAACAAAAAATTAACCGATCAACATATAGGGTTTATACTCCAAATTCTTTGAACAATTAATCGGTACAGGATAATTTGAAGTCCATTCCAAAATATTCGTCTGGCTGGCCGGTGCGCTCTATAACCCTCAAAGGGAATGACCAAAGAGTACAAAGTTTTCGTATGAACAAGGATAAACTTTTTATACCCTATACCTTGAGGTGGATATTTAAAATACGTGTAATCTTTGGACTATGCGGTGGTAATTTTTTGGTAGAAACCAATTATACCGATTCAACTAATAACATGGATAATTGAAAGTAGGAGTACAGCGAATTTGATTGAAAATGAGTCCAAATTCCCTAACATTTGGGATATAATAATATATGGATATAAGGGCCTATCGTAGGAAGATTAACTACCCCATGGGAATTCAAAATACCAAATTACAGCCAATCCGGATGGAAAACGTCTCCAAACTCCCCAAAATATCGAAATTTGGAATGCGCTGTTATATGAGGGCTATCCTAAAAAGAGGGACGAAAATTGATAATTCTTGGTAGGAAGATGTGTTACCCAATTAGATTCATTTCTGTTAAAAACGTACCTAAAACTGCGAAAATATAGAAGTTATAGGAGGCTACCCTAAAAAGTTCCATTTGCAATACCAAACATGTCAGGAGTCGTAGCAATGTATGCGCAACATTTTAATGTTCTATCTTAAGTAGACACCCTACATTATAGGTTAAAAAATCTATTTTTATTTTTGCTTAACTTATAACTATAGCTTTTCAAGAATGTCTCTTTTGAATTTTAAGTAAAAACGTCAATAAATTTTGAAAATATATGATCCATTTATTGCGTAAGTGACAGGTGGCAACGAAAGTCCCGAAACAGTGTTTTTACGGTTAGAGGGCACAATAAGTTAAAGAGCTATTAATCCAATCGGTTCCAAACTTTAACACGTTATTCTGGATCCAAACGGTGAAGAACTTCTCTTTGTTACAGATTGAAAATACGCGATTTTGCAAAAAACTAAAAAATAAATAAATAATGTTCGTAGGTCCGACATTTGCTAGTTCTTCACAACACTGTGGTACAGGGTATTATGCCTTTGTGCCTATATTTGTAACATAAATAGTTAAATAGTGCACCAAAGTCCCTATATATCTTTCGATTTGCACGAAATTTAGCATAGTGTACTGAATTGAGTCTAGAATGCCGTGTGTCAAGTTTCGAGGAAATCGGGTTTGATTTAGATATAGCTCCCATATATATTTTATTCCGATTTAAGGTATATGGTGTACCAAAGTCCCTTAGTATATTGCAATTTGCACGAAATTTGGTACAGCCTAATGAAATAGGTCTAAAATGATATGTGCTAAGTTTCGTTAAAATCGTGTCAGATTTAGCTATAGCTCCCATATATATTGCCAATTTATGGTATATGGGGCACCAAAGTCCCTATATATCTTTCGATTTGCACGAAATTTGAAATAGGGTACTGAATTAGGTCCAGAATGATACGTCCTAAGTTTCGTGAAAATCGGTTCAGATATAGATAAAACTCCCATATATATTTTCGTCCGATTTTAGGTAAATACTGCACCAAAGTTCCTATATATCTTTCGATGTGCACGAAATTTGGCATAGCGTACTGAATTAAGTCTAGGAAGATGTGTGTTAAATTTCGTGAAAATCGGTTCAGATTTAGATATAGCTCCCATATATATCTTCGTCAGATTTTAGGTAAATGGTACACCAAAGGCCCTATATATCGATTTGCACGAAATTTGGCACAGGGTACTGAATTAAGTCTAGAACGATGTTTGTTAAGTTTCGTAAAAATCGGTTCAGATTTAAATATAGCTCCCATATATATTCTCGTCCGATTTTAGGTAAATAGTGCACCCAAGTCTCTATATATCCTTCGATTTGCGCGAAATTTAGCACAGGGTAGGAATTAAGTCTAGAACGATGTGTGTTAAATTTCGTGAAAATCGGTTCAGATTTAGATATAGCTCCCATATATTTTTTCGTCCGATTTTATGTAAAAAGTGCACCAAAGTCTCTATGTATCATTCTGTTTGCACGAAATTTGGATTTATAAGTAAATGAAGAACTTAAAATGTGGGCGAATGCACAAAACATACTGAAATAAGTGTAGCTTAACATGTGATAAGTTTCGATAAAATCGGTTTAGATTTCGATATTTTGCTTTAAATTTATTTACATAATTTTGTCCCATTGTAAGAAGCAACTCTATATCTGACCAAAATTTGGTTTAGGTTGCAGAATTACATGTTTAATTTCATTCGATATGTTGAATATACCCAAAGTGGTGAAGGGTATCATATAGTCGTCCCTGTCCGACTTTACTGCTTTCCTTAATGATTTATCATTAAAGAAATTTTGCAATGCAAGAATAAGTTGATAATCGCTTGGTACCAAGTTCGGAGTGTATGGCAGATGCATTAAATTTCCCACATCTATCCTGTTGGCCAATTCTGGCCGTTTCTGGTCAATTGTAAATTGTAATTAAAACTGTTTCATGGTCAATTTTTAGCTCGTGGGCGATGTTACGACTGCTAACATGTCAGTCAACTTCGAACGATTTTTTTTTTGACTACCGAAGAAACCAAAATTGCACATAACTGGCTGTTACAACGAGCATAAATCTGAAAATTTTTGATCGATACCTTATGAGAAATCTATGAATACAGCTTCTCCGGAAAAATAATTGATTTCTTTTTCCCCAATCTAAAATATGTCTCTGGTTTATGTTTGAGAATATACGAAATGCGACAATACCTTGGATCACATTAAAAACACACACAATACGGAAGAATTTGAAACTACACATCTTGTTTAGTAAGTATCTTCAACTATATACGAGTAATACGCACTTGTTGACATATATAAAACAATACAACAACAATTCCCTATATCTCATAGAAAAATACATAGAACAAAATTAAGATAACAAAGGTTATTGCATATCATGCTGATATAAATTGACAAAATATATGTATGCACGTACATACATACGTATATCATTAACTGAAATATTGTTTTTATAACAGTTATATTTGAGTGTATTGTTCTAACTTCTGCGCGAAAAATAATAATAATACGATTACACTTAATGGTACTCTCTCTAATCTAGTCAAACTAAACGAGTGACATGACACAGACGAATATCTGAATATCGTCGTCTTGTCACTTTGGCTTATCATTTCGCTAAATGAAAAAAGAGGGAGTCAAAACGCCACAAGACACCGAAATCATTCGACTGCGTTTAATTTGTTTGAATTGTGTTCAGCGTCGACCGTCGTCGTGGTCGCCGTGTTGTCGTTGTCAGTTTCATGTTTGCAAATTGGATGTGAGATTTGTTTGTCTTTTGGCTTCGCATGTTGATCCCATTGAAAATAATTTACAATCAACACTGAATTTACGGCCGCCGCTGACACACAAGTTGAAACGTGAGAGCGGTCTATCAGATAAAACAAAATCTACAATGAGATGATCTCTGGATGGATTTTAAAGTTCATATTTGTTGTATCTATCTATTATTCGTTCAATAAACACAAACAGTCTATTATGGGGTTGTGAAGATGCGAATATCTATAAATAAAGATAGGAAAGCTACAGTTAAATAAAGTATATTTTCATTTAAACTTTCCGTCTATAAATAAAATTTGAAAGAGGATGTATGTTATCAATCCTAAACAAAATTGTGATATTCTTAGCCAAAAATAATATTTTTTCAAGGATTATAAAATCAAGATTTTTTAAGTATTTATCAACAGAATATATCAATGTTTTCGGAAGTCATCGATTTATAAATAAACATTTTATAAATAATTAGAATTTTTCAAAAACAAATTTTCTACAGACTATAGACTGATTGTTCACGCAGAAGTGGAAGGCCACGAATACGATGGAAAGGTCAAGTAGAGGATGACATATAAAAAAAGTGTCTTTCAAATTAGAAAAACTGTGCACAAGATCGACACGTCTGGAAATTTTTGGCTTTTAGAACAAGCGTTCTGTATCGATCCAGTTAAGTAAGTGGGCGTGGA